GGCCGACTATGGGGGAGGTTTCTACTCCCTCAAGTCGGTGCGTCTCATGATCCGACCGATCGACTGAAACCTCGAACTGTGCCTCCCTTCAAATGCACCTCAGTCTCTGTCATTATCTTGTTTTTCTACCCATAAATAAATACTGTAAAAAGGCAGAATCGGGAATCTCTGCCTTCGTTCAACAGTGCAATCTGAACGGAAGAGACAGCGGCATGTGTTTACGGCCAGACGCCAACAACTCCAGCAGTCTGCGTCGTGGCTAGTTCACTCCAATGCTAAAACAAAGACGGACGCCATTCCTTTCCTTTAGTAACTGCACCTATCAGTTTGGACAGTAATGGTCCATCAAAGCCCCCTGGCATTCAGTATTACTCTCCTGTGTCCTATTTTACTCACTCTTTTTGAGACTCAGTATGTAATAAAGGGAAATGGTCATTTAGTAAAGACATGAGATTTCTTCTGAGCAGCTAATGGTGACTTATTGAAAGTAGCGTTCCCCATGTCACGGGAGCATTGGTTATACTGGGAAGTTTAACCTTAGTAGGATGAAAATTGAAGTCGTATTGACAGTTAGAGTACCTGACAATCAAACGTTAAGAGGAAAGGCCTTTGCTCGACCTACTGTCTACTCGTTTCTGGGATTTTCTGGACTTTTGGGGTTTCTCACGACCCACAACAGAAAGTGAACTCATGCGACAATGTGCTTGTTCAATGTGCATATGGCTGAGCTGGCTTTGGTATGTAAATATCTTTGGCTTTATTTGTGAAAGTTAATTTAAGAGGTGTGATTCTACTCAGGCCAAATGTTCACAATGTTGTCACTCTGCCATTCATTGTTATTTATCTGTGTATTTATAGTAAGTATAGTCACGGCCATTTTATACCTGGCTCTGTAACAATACAATCCTTAACATCTTTTTTGTTTTGTTTTTTTTTTTTTAAATCCCATGTAGAGATACGTTAGCGACACTTGAACAGAAGCACACACACAGATAGCAACTGAAACAAACCCAGAGTGGATGTCTAGTTGACTTGAGGATGGAGCTCATGTGACATGCACTGCTGGCCGTCCGAGAAAAATTAAATTCTTTTATAAACATTAAACTGTCTCGGAACTTTTCACTAAGCTTCATGTTCTAATGAATAGCAACGCAGCTGTTTCAAGTGCAATAAAATGATCTCTGGCATGAATGTAAAACCTAAAATATAACATAAAATATCAGCTAAGCCTTTATCAGTATAAAAAACAAATCTTGTGAAATGAACCACTTTCTTTTATCTGACTTAAGTACAATCTGAGATGCCACAGCACTGAAAAGGTTAGGGGGATTTGATAATTAAAAGAAAGTGGGCAGAATGAAAATGTACTGTGGTCACAGAAGGAGACGGCATGTACAATCACATCATTCCTGTTCTTTAAAGAAAACAGGCTAAAGCAAAGAAGACGCTTGAAAGAAATATCTAAGAGGAATATGAGAGCTTTGCAGAAGCGTACCGGACTATATCAAGGGCAGAAACAGATAAAGGAGGATATTAAATGATGCTGCTATAGAAGAATTTAGACTAAAATGAAAGTAGAAAGAGACAGTAAGGATGATAAAAGACACCAGACAGACAGCTGGGGAAGAGAAGGAGGGGAACATTCCTTCCACATAAAATCGTTGAGCTTTTGTTTCATTAAAATGCGTATAACTTGAAATTATGGCTCCCTTCTGGACCTTTCCCTCAGAGGAGCTGTAAGTTAGAACAGATAGGAGCTGTCTGACGCAAACACTGTAAGGAGGACAGCACAAACACTCAACACATTTTAGTTCGCACACTCGCACATTCAATGGGCCAACCACACTGGCAGAGAGGCTCGCTGTCAAGACATTAAAATACTGTACATCCACCCCATCCAGGCCTGGCTGCACCGGCTCCTGACACACCGGGTTATACAAACCAGCGGGGAAATTAACCCCTCAGCTGGCAAGCTTTTCTGATCTGAGATATATGACACCTTGGAGTTTTCCATTACACTTGTTATTCCATCCGCTGTTGTTCGTGTCCCACAGCTACCACTACACAGCAGCAAAATCATGCTGGAGCTGGAGTCAAGGACCCTTGTGCTTGGCCTCCGGTTTTCAGTAAAGTCTTTCTCCGCTGACAGAGGCCAAACTGAAAATGTAAACCGCAGCATCTTATTAATAAGTGCAATAAAATTAGACTGAGGCTATCATAAATATTAACAAGCTCCCGCTCAATGACACACTATTCAGAGAAATGTAACATTACACAGGACATACTTCATCTGTATTTTTCACTCATTCCTGTAACAGAGCCGATAAACTTCATTTTTAACCACAGCAACTGTTTATAACGGCCAACAGGTCATGATTCACGTATGCAAATGCAAACCAAACCAGGTTTTTAGGCTTTAAATCAATTTACCAACAATAGGCCTGGGTGATGAAACCACAGTGATATGAGCCAGTGACAGATACCTCATCGGAATACTGTTCGACAGTTTCACTTAATGCGTGGGCGCAAACCACCACGAAAGCACCAAACTAAAAAACCCCAAGCATGCTCCTTCTGTGCCTCATAAACACGCTTCCATATCGCGTCATATTGGAGCCCCCTACCCCATCCGTCACTCTCCCTGAGACCTCCCCTAGGGAAGGCTGCAGCCTCTGGGGACTGGTTGTCGTCCTCGCAAGATGCGCTTTGCGGTCTAAAGACAACCACAATTATACCTTCATCAAAGCAATGCACAAAGCACACAGACTAACCCTCGGGCAGCGTGGTGGCTTTTCCTTGCAAAGTTTTACTTTGCATTATCTAGTTAGTAACAAGATGAGATCATTCCTTTATCCTTCTTTTTCTATTTACGTGTGCACATCTATTTGTTTGTATGAGTTTTTTTTTTAATTATTACTGTAACATTCAAAATATTACCAGTGTGCCTTGATAAATAGGCTAAAGCTGTTTAATTCAAAGTAAGGCAGTTAAATTCACGTGATAAGCACAATATCAACTGAAATAAAACATCTCACTGAGATACATTTTCAGCTATATCGCTGAACCCTAACACGTATGACTGCATATCGGGTTGTGAGCGCAGTCAACACACCAAGTCCACAGCAATATGTGAAATGATGGAGGACTGTAGCTACTGCTGTTGTGCTGCTTTTGCAACGTGGCTGATGTAGACGAGGTGAATGGATGAAGAGTTGAGGAAATATTCTAAAATTAGTTTTTGTCATAGTGGAGCCGTGCGTTTCTATGGGCTCTCTGTTCTTATGTGATTTACTAGAGAACAGGAACAAGTTCATCTGAGCATTCAACAGGCCGGCCCTGTGGTGAGCGCAGACAAGAGCGGGCTGTGTCTGCCGAGCCTAATAGCAGGTCAGAGATCACACCGTTGCACATATATGCAGCTCAGCACAAATGTATCACTGTAGGAAAACCCAAACTCAGACACTGTATAGCACACACATGACTCTTTCTCCAGATCTGTTATCATCAGAGATTGGCATCACACCCACAAAGATGCAAATGGAGCAAAGACAGAAACATGACGAGGAGTACACAAAATAGACTTTGTAGAAGTGAAACCCACCTATGGCATATTTACTACATAGAAAAACACACTTGGTAATTTTAACTCGTTGCTGTGGGTTGGGACTTTAATTTATGCTTACAGCCAAATTCAACAGGTACTTTGTTTAGCCACCAAAGAGGTAAACACATGGACTAAGACATCAGGAGAAACCTAACCCAAATTTAACCATTACACACACACCCAACACTTACATTGGGAGTGATGCTCTCTAACAAGCTCTGCGGCTTTCAGTATCCCACTCATTCATTCCTGCTTTCTCTCAGAGGGATCCACCAGGATTTATGATAGAGGGGAATGTCCGAGAACAAGAGAGCGACGATTTCCCTCTTGTGTGTCAACTTGGCTCGATCCAGCGCTCAAGACGGCCAGCTGGTCACATCACACATGGACACGCATCATTGACAAGCACGTACTGTAAGGAAACGCCGTCCGCTCGCACGTACGCGCTCAGCGAAGCTCCACCCGAAGAAAGACCGACTGGTCGCAAATCACTCAAACGCTTACGAAAAAGAGAGCGCTTCCCTTTGATTCACGACACTAAAGTTGGCAAACGTGTGCCGTTTCACAGCATTAGCTTTACGTTCGTCTCAGCCTCTGTCATTACCTCCAGACTTCCATGACGGAGAATGGTGGAGAAACTGGACGGTTTAAAGTTTATTTAATGACAAACAGACTCGTGAGCTCTTTGTTGCGTGTGTCTGTGTTTGTTTGTGCATACTCGAGCATCTAAGTTTGAATCACACAGCAGTAGCTATGATACGAGCCGGATGGTAACCAGCATCAAAGTCATCCAGTCATTGTCGAGTCAAAACAAGAACAAACAGTACAGCAGTAAAACCGCACACGTGGGCTAAGCGTTTTCCTTTGCACAGCTCATAATGCGATTTCTGTGTGATGTCATACTGCTGAGCCAAAGACCGAGAGGCAATAAATATTAAAGGAAAGGAAAAAGACGTTATTATTATAATTATTTCTTATTTTTCTTGCTGATTCATGTATTTTTTTCCAGCTAAAAGGAAGTTTGGGATGTTGAGCAGCAAATTTATGTTCGACAAATCACTTCTCTCAATTCGTAGAAGCCAAGCAAGCTTGAAACCCAAGAAAGAAAAAAAAAAGAGCTAAAGGGGAAACAAGCAGCTTACTGAAAAAGAGACGACAGAGGAATACAAGAACAACAAGCAATAAAACATGAATGACTGCCCAACTGATGACCGTCGTATTGAATGATCAATGAGACAATGATACCAAACACACATACGCAGCAGGTTTTGTTAGGCCAAGCCGCTTGGCATTAGCTCAACCTTTAGCCTGCAAACAGCCCATAAAGATAAGAAGGTAACAGTGAGGTATCTTAGTTCACCCAAGCGTCGGGGTGGTCTGTGAGTGTGTCCATTACCTAGGTATGGTATACAAGAGACCATGCTCTGGCTGCTTATGTAGTCTCTCAGACGTTTGTAGTTGTCTTCTTTGGACATCAGGTAGTCGAGCCGATCAAATGTTGCCTTGTCTTTCCGACTCAGTAACTATGAGGTAAACAGAGACAGACAAACAGGGAGGGAACAGAAGGAGAGCATGAAACAGCCAGAATGGTTCCACAACACACTGAAATACAATGGAAGAGACGATAAAATCTGTTCTGTCAATTCGTAAGTGTTCACTTTTGATTCCGATTTTTCCGTAAAATAAGTGACATAGCTGGTGGTGCCTTGCTGTGATTTGCAGCTTATAAGAAAAGAATCTAGGCCTATTTGTACAGGGCAGTAATACCTCGGCAGTTCTTGTGACTTCTAGCATTTGCAGAGGTCATCTGTGATTTTAATCCCATGTGAATCTGCCATGGCCATAATTTTCATCGTACAAGATCCGTCTGAAAACTACCAACTATATTCTGCCAGAACTGAGAATCAGAGTTGTGGTGATTCCGGGTTGTTGTTGTTTTATTTTTCTTTAATCCTTTCTTCTGCCTCCTTCCTGCTTAAAAATTATGGAGGCTGCCCTGGCAATTATGAATGAAAGCTTGGAAATTCATTCATAATTGCAAATCCAGGAGGCTCATGTTGTTACACAGCATGGACCGATTCACAGAAAGAATGACCTCAAATCCCTTAGAAGAGCAAAAAGGAGGATCAAAGGATAGTCAGATGACAGGATAATGTGCATGGCGGCCTGTGGTCGGGAACATACTGCTGTCTTTTAACATGTCCAACACTTGTTCAGCGGCCTGCCTTTAGAATTTTATGAGAACATCATGCCATTAATAAAAGAAAACCCACAAGACTTTGTATATCCCACAGGAATACGCACAACAAAACAAAGACATGGAGAGGGATTTGTAAATCACGTGAGGCCCCTAGGTAATACCAGTCCTGAGCAAATAGGACTTTACATTCAGACATTTTGTAAAGAATAAAACAGGAATGCAAAATTTGAATAATTTTCTGAACCAATACACAGCAGTGTTATCATGCATTACTATAACAACTATTGCTGTTATAGCCAACAGATCAGTTGTATTGAATGCAAAAGCTGCTCAGCTACATGCACCACTGAGTAAACAAGAATGATGTCCTATTGAATCAGCTCATTTAACATAGATGCTGTAACATACACTTTGGCCAGAAGTCATTATGCATCACAGAAGTATTTGTCATGGCGGCCTGTTGCTAGCTAAACCTATGTAGCGTTTTCCACTTGCCAACATAGAACTGTGTGTAGCATGAGTGACCACCTCCACTGGTGTTACAGTACTAAGCAGTAACAGGCTCCACCTAGTGGTACAACCAGGCACTACAGCTAATCTACAATACATTTTCTGACATCCATGTCTTTCATCTTTTGGTGTACACATTTTTAATTGATTAAATTCTTACCATGTTGATCATTAACATCCTTACTAGAACACCACTACAAGCATTGTAGAAAGCCTAAACTAGCTGGCTGTGTTAAAATATTTCCTGCTGACTGGCTACACCAGTGTCAGCTACCGTAGTATCTCTCCAGTTGGAGACGGACTATTTGTGTGCATATTTGTGCGCGTCTGTTTGTCAGAGCTACAAATCTTGAGTCTACAACAGCGAGGCAGCTTCACTGCAAATTATGGCAGCACAATTGATGCATCTGACCACAGAGAAGCTGATCTGCAGACACAGGAACTGTACGGGTTGTGTGACGACAGTGAGACCAAGACCTCGTGTGTGTGTGCATGTGTGTGTTTGTGTGCATGTGAGCCCTTCTGTCTTGGTGCAGGTGCCCTATATCGTGACGAGCAACAGCCTTCACTAAATGCCTAAAAGAAGGTCCTGTGGTTTTGTAGACCAAAGTTTAAGACATTTCCCCATTACATCAGAGCATCATTATGTCATTATGTAAGCTCTACATCTTCACTGAGAACACAGAGTAGTTGTGCCTCTCATGTTTGTAAAATGGACACTGGTCTACAAATAAATAACGGGTTCAAAATGTCTTCATAACCCAATATCTTGTGAAGTCTGTATGCAAATGCCGGGTGTTTCATTACCAGCATGAAATTGCAATTTCTCTAAAGAACTCAACCATAGAATTTGAGAGAATGAGGTCCACTAATGGAATATGTTAAACTCTCTTTCTATCTAATGAAACAGTGTGGCATTAGGTTTTCCTGAATGTTCTAAAAATTTCACTTTCTTTGTTTTTTAAAACTTTTCCATCTTGACATGTCACTTGTGCTAGTTTTTATTAGACTTAGTTTATATGTCCGGTGTTTTGGTACAGATCTTCGTGAAATTCCTGTTTATCGACAGCACTCCACTAATAAACCACATGTGTCTTCAAAGTAAGGTAAATAAACTCACCGCCCATGTTTTGGTAAGCCTGAAGATGGGAGCGCTCTGTAACCCCGACACCACAGCCATGACTGCGTGGAGGTTGTTCATGTCACAGAGTTTCTATGAAAAGTTACAGTACATCAAACATCGTTAAGCTGAGTTTACGCAGCAAATATTCACGGGGATAAAGAACAATAACGTCATGTTTTGTGTGGACGTGTTTACCTTGGCAGTGCGAATATACAGACTCAGCACTTCGGCTCGGATCTTCAACGTCTGCGCATGGAGGATCTCTCGTACCACCCAGAAACTCGTCTGGAAAACACACACAAACAGGGGATTACGGCACCGAGCAACACTCACAAACTCACCCGAAACAGAAGTGAGATACTATTGAAAATTGTATCTCTCATATGTTACAATCTTCAAAGCACAATGAGGATATCAGGTATATGAAAAGAGTGACGGGGAGTGTTGGCTCGCTAAATCTCCAGACTTTCAGTCCAGAGCCAAGACCTGCAGACAGTCATGAAAGCTATGGGCTGAACCTCACATAAATCATAGCAATATAGAACACAGGGCTAGACTGTTAATGGAAACACTCTTTTACACTGCTGTTATGAAGCAAGTAAGTATTCTGACCTCATCATTATTTCTATGCATATTTTCCAACTCCACACCATAAAAACTTGAATGCATTTTGGATTTAATCACTTTCACGAGATATGTATTTGTGTAATGAGAGAGGATGTGGCCTCCAGTGATTAACACCCCACATTAAAATGTGCATAATTATTGGGCAGTTTCACTACCTCAACTTAAATGGGCCAAACAGAGATTTAACTAACACTGAAAATACAAAAAATGTAAAAATGCCTTTCAGACAGCTGCAGAAAAAAAACGACACTTTTGAGACATGACCAGTTGATGATGGTACATTTTGTTGCAAGTACTCAACATAGATGCAGAAAACAAATACATAAGTCTTGGGAAAAAATGGCCGTAAAGCTACTACAATCCCATTATCCTACAGTGCCAATATAATGTAAAACTGCAATATACAGATGGGAGATGAATTACAAGAAAAACCTGAGCCCTTGACTCCTAAAATGACGGGCTCCTGTGGCTCTGTTATGCTTTGGGTTGTATTTTGTTGGCATGGTTTGGGTTCAAAAACTCATAAAAAGTTGTTCTGAGGGATAATTTTCTATCCTGATGTAGGTGATCTCTTCCAGGACGTCAATGCCTCCATCCATAGGGCACAATCGGTCACTGAATGGTTTGATGAATACCAAGATGATGTGAAGCATATCCTATAGTCTTTGCAGTCACCAAATCTCAACCTAAAACAAACAACTATGGGAGATTTCTTTTTACTTTTTCTGGATCAGTCAGCTTCTCCCAGCCTGACTTGTAAAAGCAGTCCATGTAGATAAAACCACTTGCTTTAAACTTGGTTAAAATCTGACATTCCCAGCTAGTTTTTGGTTACACGCCTTTCTGAATGTGCTAAAGCTGGCTGGCTAGCATGTAGCTGTCACCTGCACATGAGGTGTTTATGGAACATCAGTAAATTGTAGTGTCTATTGAACATTGAAGCAGATGTTTAGTAAGTGAAGAGTTGAGATAATTGGTAGCACCAGAGCCACCAGTGGAAATGTTAGTCTGCAGCCCTTCTATACTCAATTACTAAATCTGAGAATAAACAAGACAGTTGGGAAAAATGATTTTTGTAAGTGACTCACCTAATAATTGTGCATACTTATATATCCCCCTGAGAAAGACAAAAGTTACCTTTTCCTTGTCAAACATTCTGGTTTGAGGTTCGATTACATTTTGGACTGACTGAGGGCATTGTATTTGGTCAACAATAAAACCATTCCTGAGGAATACAATTTGCCTAATAACTGTGCACGCAGTGTAGAGACGGTTAGGAATCAGCTCTTAAGGAAAAACAAGACCCTCAGAGGAAAATCCGCTGGATGCCAGGTGATTACACAACAGATACACACTATAACTCCTGATATGTCAACTGAGAAAGGAGGAGGAGATGGTGGATACGTGTGTGTGTGTTCAGAGTACTTGGCCAGACCGAGAGTGATGTCGGAAATCTGTCTCTTTAGGGAGAATGCTGGTAAGCCAAAGTTCTGATTATACATACACACAAACAGAAAAGTGAGTGAATCAATCACTGTTTAAGCTCCTGGGAGAGAGGGAATGGAAAGAGGAAAAGGGAGACGAGTGAGGGAAGAGAGAAGGTAATGGGAAGGGAAGTTAGCCTTCAATGCCGCAGGGCTCTCAGGGCTTTCAAAGCCCACAGCTGTCTGCACATAGTGTTCTGATAAGACAGACAGACTGACCATCTCCATGTTTCCCTCGAACACTAGCATACTTTCCGTTTCTGAAGCATTTTCTCACTTTGCTACTTGCACATTTCTCTTACTCTTCTTTGTCTCCTTGATTAACTGACTTTACCTATGTGGCCCACATTCCACTACTGAAGCCACAGACCAAGAGGTGTGATCTTTCTGTGTGTCTATAAATTACGTGTGAGTGTGTGGCAGCTTCTTCGAGCTTTTCAACATTCTTGATTCTTGATTCCACACAAATTCTAAACCTACAGCTGTCTTTGCCTACTTTTTCCTGGAAACAGCCCCGAGACTTGTTTTTCTTTCAGAGAAGACGAGAGGAGCTGAGGAGTGAGAAGATAAATTCATCCAGCTACTCATTCTCTCGCTCCCCGTCCTCTCTTATAAACACATGATGCACACATCACACTACGTTCAATCTATGAGGTAGTGTATCAACAGGAAACAGGGCCATGTGTTCTTAATTTTCACCATTTCACATGAAGTAATGCAGAGAGAGACGTACTGGGGGGAGTGATGAAAATGGACAGGAGATGTATCGACGGTGGACTCTGACTTCCACTGGCTGATTATGGATCTATTGGCTTGCTATAGCGGCCTCCTGTGAAGAAGCAGCTCCCATTGTCAAAAATGACCTTCCTCTTCCACTGTACAGTAGAAAAGCCTTTCCAGTAATTGTAAAATGTGATTCCAGTCTGGGAGCAAAACACGGTGCAGCTTCACAGTTAGTTTCCTCAGCGGCCTAATCTCTTGATATCTGAGGTCAGTTTGGACAAAGCATGTCTCCAGAATCACTATACCTATGGGGTTCATTACAGGGAATGTGTCTCCGTCTGCTTCGGTTCCCAAAACTGCACAGTGATGAGGTCACTCATGACGGCAGCGCTCCACATAGGTGCAATCACGAGTGTGTGAGCGAGAGGGCTTTGCAGACAGAGCTCCGTCTGTACAGATTTCATATTATGTCCTCGAGCAAAAATGATGTTTTTGGGGCCGTGTTTATGAGAGTATCAAGGCCTCCAGATGGAGCTACGAGGCCCCGGCGTTTCAATAATCATAAATAAACGGAAGCAGACAGATCCATCCACAAGCTTATAGTTGTAGATCAACCAACTTAATGGCCTGAGGGGAGGAAGGGAAGGGATGGAGATTAAGATCTGGCCTGTGGTGGAGACGACAGCTGACTGACAGTGGGATCTCATCCCTGATGTGCTAATGCCTGTTCAGTAGTAGAGAAAATCTAAAGAGCTAACAGACATGTTCAGAATATAACGTATTCTGCTTCAGTTATAGCTGTGAATTCTTTATTAAGCCTTTGATTCTATGATTCCCGGATAAAAACACTTCAAGCTGCTGATTTGTCACTGTAGAAAACCTAATAAGACAAATTACTGTGCATCATCATCATAATGTGTTAAATAGCCTAGCCAATTCTTTTCAGCCTCATTGGCTTCCAAAGCTTAGCGCCAACAAAACGAGGACTGAAGGAAGAAGAATATGGCTTCAGCTCATGCGAAGGGGCTTTCTGGGACTCTCTGCCCTCCCTGTCCAAGTCCCATTATCCAGAAAGCTCATTTTCCTTGGCTCCCAGCAGCTGAATGTGTGCAGCTAACATCTTGAATCACCGTTTGGGATCTGGTATACATGGAGAAGTTTCCACAGCAACACATTCTTATTAGATCATCTCATATTTATACTGGAGGGCAGTAAAGTGGGTCTTAAAGGAGCTTGGCAAAAACACTGGGAGTGGATTAAAGGGCATGGCTACCCCTTTGAATCATTACCCACAACTTCCTGTTGATGATGTCACAGGGCAAGGAGGAAGGGGGACGTGCCAAACACACTCCTACACGTGCACATTAATAACTTGATGAACGCCAGAAACAAGGACCAAAAGAAAAGCTGCCTTCCCTCAGACCTGCTTCACCTGGGGACCATTTAGGATATATATATAACTGTATGACTGGCAGGACGGAGACATGGGGATTATTAGGAGCTGCCATGACAAGCACAGCTTCAAAAACAACCACGTCTGAGAGAGCTAGGGTGATGATTTGATACTTGGAGGATGGAGGCGGAGGACATGATGGAAAGAAGAGCTGTAATCTCTCCATACCTCAATGGCCAAGGCTCATAAATCTATAAAACTGCTGGGACTGTTTTCCCTCTTTGCTTTTGGGTGAGACTTGAGATTGTACTGAGTGAGGTATAGATGCAAACGGTGTACGTGTCTCACCTGGTTGAACCTGCGGGTAAAGGCCACAACATTTGGGGCAGAGCTGTGCTTCTCCTTTTTGTTCCAGCCGCAACTTGAGAGCTCCTGCAAACACACAGACAATAATGCAAATTTAGAGAATGTGCAGAGCCGCAGAGCATTTCTGTTTATGGCAGCATTTTGCTGAATGTATTCAACAGCCTAGTCAGAGGTCACTCTGTGGGAAGTGGAGAGGAAGTAAAGAGCAGGATATGATCGGAGAGAAAAGCAGATGAGGGGAGAAAGATGCTGAAGACAAGATCCAGTCAAAGAGACAGATTGATTAATGAGCGACTGCAAAAAAAAAAAAAAAAACAAGTTATTCAAGAGCACGTTCTTCCTCAGGATGGAGCTGAGCAATCACCATTGATTGAAACTATTTCAATGTAAAATTGATCACTAAGCTGTGGAATGATTGTTGCTCAACTACAGTTACATAAAACAAAAGTTGACACAAAACTTTTTAAAGAACTATATATAAATAATTTAACCTTTAACTGCAAATAATGTAATCTTGAGCACAGTGGTGATCCTGTTCTCATTTCAGGCAGCTGCACAGGGTGGCAAATTGCAGTTTGTGGTTATGCAATGTAAAAGGTAGTTATGTCAATGAAAGAGAAGAAGACCAAAAGCACAAACTGATGTTTTCTAACACAGTTAAATAAGGCCGCACCATGCTTTTTGCAAAAAGAAATGCATCTTGGTTTGAAAATAAACCACAAGAAAAAGCCAGCGCACTCCACAATACAGTACTTTTAATGCATAAAATGTTAAATATAATAAACATGTATTACACAAAGTAACTAAATACCAAAGGGACATCTTCCAAACATCTTGCCAAAGGTCAAAAAGTGAAAGTAGTTCAGCAAAGAAAAGCAGCACAACTTCCCATGCGAGGAGCTGTAATAAGTGAATGTGTTTTTTGATTTCATAAGAATTTGTTAAACTATTGGGTTATTGAATTTGCCATTTGTTGATTTTCTGTTAAAAGCTAATAAATCAATCTCTGCACTTCTACTAACGCTTCCAGTCTTCCAAAGCAGCAGCAGCAGCAGCTGTGGAAGCAGCAGTACTGATAACGATTTCAGTAAACTCTATTAAAAGGAAGAGTGGTGATTTTGGAACTTGAACACAGAAAATTCCAGCTACGCACAAACAGTCGTTTCTTTGAGTACCAGGCTGGACTCAGTTTGGCCTTTAGCTGCCTGTCCTCAGCGATGAGGTAAAGACGGAGACCACACAGACGCTGCGAGGGGAACCCAGTCCCTCCTTTGGCCCCTGCAGGCTGTCCAGAGGCCAGGGACACTGACATAACAGTAGGAAAAATGTTGTGCAAGCTTTCCTCCTAATCCCTGCCAGCCCGGCTGACAATATGAACAGCTGAATCAGGCTGCGGCTCTCCCACACAACAACCCCCCGTGAGGTAGTTCGACCGTCTGGAAGCAACAACCGACTGATCACGGCTCTGGACTTCATCGGAACGTCTGCTTGCAGAGAGAAGCTGCGTTGAGTCTCTGGGTTGTCAGAGGCAGCCAGTGGGGGCAAAGAGGCAACATATCAAATACAGATGTTAAAAGCAGACATTCATGCGTGGGCGAGGTGATGCCTTGGGGTCCATGTTGCCTGAGTCAGGATTAGGATACATGGAAACCGAAACGGGGGTAAAGTGGAGGGAAGACGAATGGATAGCATTAAAGGTATGAAATAAAACACTGCAGAAGACCCAAGAGCATCTTCCTACATGGTCTGCTGGTCTGTGTGCAGCCTCCTGTGTGCTTAGGTGTGCCGTCAAAGTGTAGCGTTAAACCCGAAGGCAGGAGCCTGTCTGACCAACGAGAGCTAATTATTTATTTAACATCTGTCCTTTTCAAATAACCGCTTCCCTTCGTCCTGCCATGGTGTCAATCATTCTCCTCTCTCTCTCTTCCACATAGCGTCGGTGATGATTCCTAAAACAAAGACGTTCTATAGTTAGTGGGAGCGTTTGTGTCTCTCGCCATTCGGCCACCCAGGTAGGCGTCGCACTGACACGCAGACGCCACGACCACAACATTTCAACAAGCTACGCCGAACCTTCAACACCGGACCACCTGGACCCGTCTTCTAATCTAACTGTCCGTCCATCTGTCCATCCGGCTGAGCTCGAAGTGTTTTTAAAGCTCCACAACAAACCAAGTCCGGTTGTCTCGTGCATTTAACCAGCAGGGAACTGAGCCCCAGCCTCTCCAGAAACTATTAGGATTTTATTTCCTTTATTTTTTTTTTCATGCCTTTATAGCCTCTTCTAACACTCAGCCATTACAAACTGCAGGCAACTTTTAAATAAAACTCTGACAACAGTTGAGTCTTTGGAGAAAAGCTTTGACGAGGCAGCTCTGGTAAGGGGAAGGTTTTAAATACTGCAGTAAAAAAGTGCCGTAAAAAAAAAAAAAAAAAAAAGAGAGAGAGAGAAAGAAAGAAAGAAAGAAAAAGCATGCTCTGCCAAACCACAGACAGCCTGTCATTTCCACATGCTGGTCTGGTTGAGCAGCATTTTCATTAAAGCGCAGTCCTATGGGGCCGAGAGAAGCTGGCGGCATTCACACTGCTGGGTATGAATATTTAACATTATGGCTGTCAAAGAAAACTGATGTCACCTCTGGCTGAACATTTAAGTGACCGACATGTTAAAACAACCAATAAATATCAACTGATGGAGCGGAAAAAAAAAAAATGTTCTCAAGCATCCAAACAAAGATATTAACACAGATTAGATGCTTACATTACTATTAACCACACCAAAAACTTTACATAACCCAAAGCGCAGACACTGCTTTACATTGTACATTGTAAGAAGTATTATATAAGCCGAAGTACAAGCGGAATAAAATAACCAGCTGCAGCAAAACCACAAATTGCGATGAGCTCATGAGAGATGCCACAGCTATTCCTTTTGTTTTGGTCTGCATTGTAAGTGGAAAACTGTGTGTCGGGATCCCAGAGAAATTTAAGTTGGAGGCCACGGGCCAAGACAGGAAAGGCTGATAAAGACGAGGAACAGGATGGAAAAAGAAGGACGATGAGGAGGGGAGGAAGTGAGCAAGAACGCTCGCTGCAAGAACAGAGGAGGAGATCGTGGTGATAAGATTTATTCAGGATGACAGGAGGGACTGCGATGGAAAACCGGCAACAGTTGTGTCTGTTTGCTGGATAGTGCTTTGGGATGCAGTGAGACAGAGGAAGCCCCGAAACTGCCAGGTGATGCCAAACACATGGTGCCACTATTGACAGATTTGCCAGTTTGCTTCTGTTCTGGTTAAACAGAGGAAAGAGAGAATACATGAGAGAAGAGAAGAGAAGGAAAGGAAAGGAAAGGAAAGGAAAGGAAAGGAAAGGAAAGGAAAAATGAAAAAATAAAAACCTATAAAATACAATGTTGTCTCAGTCAGACGGTTCTAAAGTATAGCCTTGGTGGGGACGTAGGAGCCAGCTGCAGCCTCCTTCACCTTGCTCTGTACACCACGGAAAGAATTTGTTTTCCAGGAGTAGCTGTACTTGCGTAACTTTAGTACATGAATTTTAAGTTTTATGCTTAGTTTTTACGGTTGTATAGAAAAACCAGGTCGAGCATGTTGCTATAAAAAGATACCCCAGAGCATTCGCTAAAGATGATGTTATAGTAATAATTGTTGCGAATGCATCAAAAATAATTAAAAACATGCTATAATGGTGGTGGGCTAAATCCTTGGGGATGATGGAACTGTTGGTTTCTATCTCTGCTGCCAAAGCTTTATTTTCTCCACCTTTCATGGTGATGAATGCATCCAGCCTGTCATTCTGACAAGCTGTGGCGTAGGAGGGGTTCCCGCCTGTGTTTGTTGTGAAGCAATTACTGCCAAATCCCTACATTAGAAAACAACATGTGCAGACTACGTGGATGTACAGAGAAGTGTATGGAAAACTAGTAATCCACTGAACCCCAAAACCCGCTAACAAGTCGGAATAACATGTTATTTGAAAAACATTTGCCACAATTCTACCATTTATCAGAGAAGCCAGAAGTTGGAAGAAATAGAAAGAATCATTGGATTTTCAACTTTCTCACAGTCCTTGAACTGCTCGTCTGTTATGTAATGTTCTGTTGCAAAATAACTTCAAAATCCAAGGGTGAGACTGTGACTAATAATCATTTTATTCTGTATGTTTCAATTTAAAAAATCCCTAAATAAAAGCCTTTACTCGAACTCGCACTCTAATTCTGCACTTCTTGGCACAACTGTGAAGCCAACAAAAATTCAGGGACTTATTAGATGAACAGGGTTGAACTGCAGGCTGTGCTTACGAAAAGTAGCATGAAAACAAATTAAATATGTAAGTAGTTGAATATTTAGCTACATATAACATAGCACATGGTCATTTTCCAGTATTGCAAAATGTAAAAAATGTATGTGTCAGTTCTAGGTTTTGCTTTTTTATTCTTTTTTTTAATGATTTAAAGCATTATGACCTTGTTATACTGCACAGAAGATATTTTTGAGTTCTCTACTTCTAGCCATGGTGGTGCCGTGTATGAAGCGGTGCAGGACTTTATATTGCAGCAAAAAATGAGCCCACAGAAAGTAAAAATGTGACAGGAGCAAAGAAACATATCAGGGGGTTAATACCTCAGTTACAGTTATGACTGCATGACAGCAAACATGATATTTGAGTTATAGTTTTTTTTAATCGCACAATCGGTGCTGGGAAGCGTTAAACCTGCAGACGAGACAGGTCTGAGAATGTGAAACGATACCTGCCTCCAACTACATGTCATCTCGTCGTCATCGTCTCCTTGACTCGCATGAGACCTTCAATCTGTTCGGAGGATTTCTGCTCTGGGTGCTCAGACATGTGAGGATCTGACATACTTCTCAGCGGTACGTAAAATGCAATCCGATATCTGTTCCCTCCAGAGCTGAAAAGAAACTCGCCAGCCAAAGCCACTAAATTATTTGCTTGGCTTTTGGAATGGCTGCATGCTAAAAACAAAAGGCAACCCTCTCCCCCTGAAGCCCCTCTGCGTCACTCAATCACTCTTTCTCTCTCAGCCTCTGTTTCATAAACATCCAGCTGTAGATCTTCAGCTGCATGTCTGATTATGAAATTAGAAATGGCCCACTGGGACAGAAAAGAGAGAGAATGAAGAATGGAGGAAAAGTCCTCCATCGCTCTTTTATTTCATCACAATTCTTCTGCACTTGTCCTCCCTTCACTTTGCTCGTTTTTTTCCTTCTTCTTCGTCACCTGATAGCTACAGCGAGCAGATTTGCGTCCATATTCGCTCTTGATAAACAGAACCAGCCGATGCTACGACCCATTAGCAATCACTGCTTCGAAACTTTAGATGAGAGAAAATGATTTGCTACAAGTCCTTTGCATTCATTCCTCTCCTCCTCTCCATGATCCATCTTGTCATTTTAATGGCATTTTACTTTGCGAACCAACAGCCAAGGAACATAACGGAGATTCATTTGGGGGTTGTAGATTAAACATCAGCCTTCTCTGCAGTATAGATTATTTTACCATCAAAAATGCCTTCTGGTGTTCCCATCAATTATACCCGCGCTCCAAACAGAGCACTAGGCTCTGACAATGCTTTGCTCGCTGGCTCTCAGTAAATTTCTTTATTTACTCCATTTCCAGACAAGAACAATGAGTATAGCACTTACGAGGGTCCATTACGTGGAGGAAGTAAATTACGACACGCATGGCGACAGTTCAAGAGCCGTCACTTATGCATCATAAAAAGCAGATGTGTTGAGATTGTGTTTGTCTTTTGCTGTATCAGAGTGACACGTGTTCAACTCCGATCTTTTAAACCTGGCTCTCTAGAGGCCTTTTCAATATCAAAGAGAAACAGCCTCTCCAGTTATTACCCATAATTTTTCCCACATTACATACATCAGCATGTCTGGAAGAAACAAAAGACGGTGGGAGTGGACTCTGCTTCCTGCCCAGAAGGGTCTGGCCGCACTTTATACCATCTCTGGTGTTGTCGGTGTGTCCGTCCACAGTTCCCATGTAATCTTTTATTGCTATTGTGACAGACTGTTATCTTTTCTTCCTCATCCAGAGGGTTTGGCTGGATATTTCAGGCTCTCCTCCATACATCTGTTGCATTTCAATATTGGAACACTTAAGTTAACAAGATCTTCTGTTCTGCTGTGATCTTGTCTGGGGGTCATTTTTTCAGACTTATGCCAGAATATCTGTTTATGTGTCTATACACATGAAGAAAAAAAGTCTCCCTCTCTCTCACACAAACTGTCACATTATTATATTAACACAGTTATGATGTGTTTATGGTGAGAGGAAAAATAAAAAATCTTAAACACAGACGCTAACAGGCCAATTCAGAGCTAATTTATGGCTATTTCAGCTATGTCTAGTGCAGTTATTATGGAAAAGACTGCAGTGTTGGAAGAACAGCAAAAACAGTAGGGCAGTAGATTAGAGCAGCTCACACTTTAAAGACTGCTGCTTTTTTTGCACCATGCAGTAATGAGACTAAGGGACAAGCGTGATTTGTCTACAGTAATTCAGCTGTAAAGGCATTCATATAGAGGTATGCAGTAAAATATATAGGAAAAATCCGGTGGAAAATGTAACCCGTTTATTGGTTGTTCTCATGCAAAAACTATTAACTTGAAACCATCTGATGATCAACAGGACATGTCAAGAAGCTCTACTGGAGATGTTGTGTTACAACGGTGGAACCAGTTATCAAGACCAATGCCCTATCTTGCAGAAAGAAAATCATTTGGATCCTCACCATGATTTAACAAGTTTTTCCTTTGACTATGTTGCACCTCTCCAACAAAATTTATGAAGTTTCGTTGGGTAGTTTTCGCATAATCACACAAAACAACAATCACGCAGCTCAGCTTCTGCCTTGGCGAAAGAATGAGAGCTACACCATATCACATCATGGAAACTCACACAATCTTCTTTCAACGTAAACATGCTTGTTCAATATTAATATGCCTTTTTACGCTAATTACATCCATAGCTGTTGCCCATTTGTCCGTCAGCTCTGCTTTAGCTGTCATGTCTGCTGATTTCATTGTTGCAACACAGCGATCAAAGGGTTAAAAGGCAAAAATGGGCTGGAAGTCAGGAAAAACACTATTGCACAACTCGAGGAATCGAGCAAGTTATTTAATATTTTCCTATTCAGGCAGCGAAGGGAGCGAAACAGCAGGCGTGCACGAACACACACACACGCCTGCTTTTCCCATCATGTGTCTGCGAGGAAGACTGACAGCGGTGGAAACTCTAGTGGAGTGCAGCTCGGTCGCAGCCGCGTACCTTTTTTTTTTCTTTTTCGGCAAGACACAAAAGCACAGTGAGAGCGGGGGAGAAAAAAAAAAAAGGCCTCTCTCGTCCACACAGGATTCCTGCTGGGTCACTGTGTATACTGTACACTCGACTCCCTCTCTCCCTCCAGACTGCAGCCTTCATCGACTCCTCAGACCGCCCCCTCAATCAGGCTCCTTTCCGGATGCCCCCCCCCCCCGCTGCCTTGCTTGCTTTCCCCTGCATCATTCTTCATTCCCACTTCAAGTCTTTCCGCACGGGACACCGCAACAAACAAAACACTACAAACAAGGCCTGACGAAAGCTACTTGGGAAGTCTCTAGCGTTTTCCGTTTCCTCAGACAAAAACTATTTACAAGGCTCAAAAAGGACATCCTAGACTATGACACTGTTATTTAATAAAATCAAAATGTGGCTCTGATAATACCAGAAGCATGTGTGTACCATTAGCTGAGGGAAGTGAGTGTAGCACATATTCAACAGTGGGAGTCAGACTGCACCACACCGCGCTGGGCTGTGGTCTGTACGCTGCTTTTATAAGGCCACAGTGGCCAACCTTAAACACAGGCTATCCATGCCGGCTGTCAGCAAAGAGCCAAACAGCTCGAAGAGAGAGAGCAGGACTCTCGCAGACAAGGTGTGCAAGAATAGGTGAGATGCAAATACTCATTTTCTGCATGACTGTGATATGTGACTCTGCGTGGGATCTTTGATTACAGCTGCGTTTAGCAAAGCGTGGCGCTGGGAAATAAACTGCAGGGGCACGAGAAGGAGAAACAAAGGCAAAGGCAGAAAGACAGCAGACGGAGAGAGTGAACTCTGTGAGGTCCAGAAGTCTGAGTGTTATGAGATTTTGCATTTGATTTGAATTCTATAAAAGTTTTTAATTATAGATTATATAATAAGCTTAATAATTTGAGTGCATCATATAATCTCTGACAAAAGTAAATGAATTCACAAATATTTAAGCATTTGATCCACCCTCCTTTTGCTTAACAATGACAGCAGGCACTCAAGCTGACATGGATTCATGTTTGTACGGTTCATGTTATCCCAGCGTGATCTGACAATCTTCCAAAGAGCTTCGAGTGACGTCAGGACTGCTTGGCTTTCTCACTCGTCTTTGCTGCAATATAAATCGCTCCACATAAAGACAAAAACCAGAGGCTATAGCATATCACTGAAGAATGGAGTGGGACTCCTTGGCCAGGATGTCGTCGAGTGGGTAACTTGCATTTATCTGAAAACAGGACTTTTCCCATAATTCACTGAAACGCTCGTATGTCTTATCCAACCCCAAGTGTTCGGCCTCGTTTCCTTTCCTGACACGTATTGTAGAGATGGCTACTGGTCCCCTGAGAGCACAACGAGACAGCCATCTTTTGACAGGACTTTTACTGATTGGAGACTCTGTGTATCTGTGATGAAGCAGCTTTTCTATGTCTCGGTGAACAAAGCTTGATGTATTGATTTTCTCATGGTGTGGTCACTTCTTGGTCTGCCTGACCAACTGATCCAGTTTCCTCAAAGTGATTTAGAGTGCTATCCACTACACCCTTATAAACCTTCGATGTGGCCATGATATGATGCTGAGAAAACCCCTCTATCCTTAGAATAACAAGTACGCTTTCTGACACTTTTACTTAGGGCTGATATCATGTTTCCCACTGAGTAAGCACTGCTCTGCTGGAAAATTGGGGCAAAGCCACACATAAAATGGGTGAACACCTGCTGCAAGTGGATTTTCTTGGACAACCGTCTGATGAGTAGCTTAAACCACTGTAGTGTCATCTGAGCCTTAGTACAAAAGCAGTTAACATGGCCAATGCCACAATTATGCTTGGATATGACTGCTGTCATGGAAACAGTGATGAATCCAATGTTTTTTTGATTTTTTTTTTTTTTTACATTTTACATGTGGTAGCCTCTTGTGTTTTTAAATGTTTCTTAATCTGCAAATCTTATTTCCAGGTTTACATGAAAATATAAGACATTTTTGATGTGGTCTCAGACTCCTGGACCTCACTGTATAGTCATGACATTGTTATTACATTATTATACTGTCTCTTCTCTACAGATCTAATCGCAGCTCACCTCTGGCTGGATGGCTTTGAACACAGGAGCATCCATGAGCGTAATTTGGCCCTGAAGGAGAACAAACAACAGTTATTAGACTTACTCTGTTCAGACTGAAACATACAAATTAAAGTTTATCACAATTAGCTTGCTGTCATATAGGAGGTCAGTGCAATAATCATTCAACAATTAAAGCACTGCTTTGTGACAGTGCACAACCTATTAATCCAAAGACTTGCTGTTTTTTTTGTTTTTTTTTAATGACAGCATCTCTAAATGCATTGATACAGCAGGGAGAGAGTAGCTTGAGGGCATAATAAGATAAAGAGTGCCCTCTTGTGGTTGAGTGAGGCAGAGGAACAAACCAGCATCAAAGCATTTTGATTAGATTACAGACATTTGGAAAAGGCTTTTCTTTAAAATGTCATGGGGAAATCCTGAGCATTAGCCTAAAACTGTTTCAACAGAAATGTGACGTTGTTCAGCGGTTTGATCAGAGTTGCCATCGGAAAGTTTGTGCAGAGGCAGCTGGGGGAACTCTATCAGCGCCTGCTTGGCACTGCCAAACATCATCAATTATTACTGATCCAGTCTCTGACCCCATTTCCTCCTCTATCATCCCATCTCCTCCTGTCTCAAGTCAGCACATCACATGTGTGCTTACTGAACATTTCATTTTTAATCACTCAACCGTACAGGTTAACCAAACACGAAGAGACAGAGTGCCTGACAAACACATAAACTTTGCTTACTGCATATTCTTCTGGAGTGACCTTCAGCACGTCAAACACAACAGCATCAAAACTCTTTTTCAGCTCCGAAGATCCCTTATCACTGAGGGATTCTGAGCTGCTGCTCTTCTGGAAGATAAAAACACACACAGAGCTGATGGCTGAGCTGTTTAGAACAAGGTTATCAAGGGAAGGAGAGAGGTGAGGCATGACAGGTTTTCGAGAGAGGTAAACAACCAAAGTGCTGTGACAGCACAGCTACAAAACGCTGTGTTCAATTTCAGCTGTCAGAGAAAAACACGTAACAACATCCTGTCGCCTGATAATCACACGCTGAAGCTTTCAGTGTTGAAAGATGCTTGGAGCTGCATGCAAAGGACGGATTTTGAAAGGTTGCTCATACAAGTGGGTGTGTCCTCACCTCAGAGATTGTGGCAGCGTTGGTGGTGATGCTTGATTGGCCATTAGGGAGGTCCATCATTTGCACACCATCTAGCTTTAGCGCAGAAGACCACTCATCATCCTCAGCTGCAGCAAAGCCCGCCTGGCCCTCTGATATAGAATACATAGAGAATGTACAGCCGTGAGAACATTTTGCACCACATCCTAACCATGATTACCTACATCCATGTGATCGCTCAGGTTGAAGCAGCAGCACCACCTACTGGCTGAATGATCTGTATGTTTGTGGGTTCACTTCATCATTGTAGGTTCCTGATTGGACTGCGAAGCTAAACCTCAGAAAATGGAAGGGGAATGTGGAAGTGTTGACAGGTTCAGCTATTCTCCCGGTGCACAGTATATGGACGTACACTTTCACAGGCTGCCTTGACTGCACTCGAAAGAGGACAGGACAGAAGGAGCTTAGGCTGAGCATTAGGAAAAGATCTTCTGTGAAAGGAGTTTGTAAGATCCACAACACTAAACAGCTTACCTGACCTACTGCCACTCACAGACTCTCCTGTCATGACCGGAGTCAACTACAGCCATGGCTTTGTTTTTCTTTTGTCTACTGATAAACACCCTTAAACTCTCCAGGCGCTTCGGTCACGACAGGGCTGCAGTTATTAGTAGATAACGCTGTTCCTTCATGTGGTTAGTGGTTTGTTATTCCTCTTAAAACCTCTGTTTTCTTGATAAATTCTTTCATCATGTGAATCAGATAATCAATGAGTAATCCCAGCATGAGCATCAAGCTGTATTTTCATTTCCTACTTTAAATGAGACATTTTTCTTCAATTACTGGAAAACTGAAAATTACAAATCCTGGTCTGAATCTGTATGCAGCGTGACTACATGGATAGATGGAAGCACAAAGAAACTACTTGATGCTATGAATAATGAAAGTTAAACTGAAGACTCAGAGCCCAGTCTTTGTAGTGATACGCTGAAATTTCAACAGCGACTGATATTTTATTGAGACGATATTCTGATGTGCGTAAATATTCTTCTCGGCTCAGCGCTGAAAACACCTCCGAGACTGTTCTTTGCCAAAAGCGCGCCGAGAGACAGTAATGAAAAATAAGGAGCTGCTTAGAAATACTGAAGGCCAGCAAAGGCATCCCTTGTGTGCTCGACAATGCGGGCCTGTATGCGTGTGGGCGTGCGTGCCTGCCTGTCTTTTCGGCTGGCTCGAGCTTAAATGGCTTGTGCTTTAAGAACCATTAGCTGTCTTCCACAGTTGCGTTTTGCCAGAGCCGAGAGCCAACGCCAGTACATCACGTCAACTTCCCTTGCATTGTCTGACAGCAGTGCATAATTGTACAGGAAGCAATAGCTAGGCTGTGTTTACAAGTCTGAGCCTGTTGTTTATAAAATCATACATCTGTAACTACCTTATTTCCTGGTCTAATACCTATGCACGTCTTGCCTTTTTGTCACGTTGTGTAAAATATCCTTTGGGAATTTTGCCTGGAGTTGTTTGGATTTTACAGTCAGAGTCGATGCTGTGCTAATTGTGAACATGCAAACACTTTAAAATCCCATGTACCCCGTGATGGTCTTTCAATCTCAAAAGAACAGACTAAAAACATTTGCAATTCAGCTAAACTACCACTAAAACAAGGGTTTTTCCTGTAGTTTTCCAGGATGTTAGGAGACCCTAAAAAGGGTTTTCTTAGCACTAAAGGAAATTCACCAGCACCACAATGATGACAATTTCGAATGAAAATAGCAGTGTTGTTCATTTAGGTTTATTTGCTGAAGCATAATTAACGTTGCTGCTTATCAAATGGTCTGAAACAACAGGAAAATGCATAGATCTTGGCTGAATAAGTAACACAGACTCATTGCCTTAACTAAATGAGAACTTCCTGTGTTTTCTGTAATGTGTAGTTACCTTCCAAAAGGCCCACTCTGAGGCAGAAAAAAACACTGAAAGCAATTACATAATGTGTCGGGCTTCATGTGTGTTTGTATATTTAACAAAACACGCAGTATTTGCTAATGGAGCTGTTATGTTATCGTGTCCTCGGGCGGTGAAAAAAAAAAAGATTAGCATAGAACCTGCAGACACACCTGTGCAGATAACTTCCCTCTTCCAAAAACAACACGTCCTTGCTCAGACAAGGCCACACTTACCAGATGTGTGTCAGATGCGCATAGTGCTGGAAGTGGAGTTAGCCTTTTGTTCTGTTTTTCCTCTCTCTGTCTATCGAGTCCTGTCTTTCTCTGAGGCTGGCTCCTGCTGTCTGTGTGAAAAGGCAAAAGAACAAAAGAGACAGATGAGGGAGAGATGGGAAAGGAAAGGCAGTGTGATTGTTCTGACCGTGAGGAAAACCCACGCAGCCATAAGTAACAAACGCAGCCAAAAAAAAAAAAAAAAAAAACATCCAACAGCTGATCTGATTTGTGTAAGTGCATAGGAAACCAACAGCCGCTGCAAAGACGAGACGACAAGGACAAGATCTAAAAGCAGCGTTTCTAATGGAAACTTTTTCGCAGCCATAAGTTTCGAGAGCCTGGTCAGCATGAGCTCATTGCAGCAAAATACAGCGATGAACACAGCTGGGCAAGAGAAAGTAATCTTGCTTCACAGTTGTCGAAATGATATTTAAGATTAGTATTCTAAATGTACTTGAGCCTGTTGTTCACCTGAATCAAAAAATACAGCAATCACATTATTATTCCAGTGTGTGTTTGTACCAGAATCGGTCTGATACTATCGTAAAAAGGAGATCAGGATATGACACTGATGTGACCAATCGACAGCTTTCAGAGGTAAAGGAAGTATTTTCATCTTACTTAAGAAAAAGTACTAATCCCACAATGTTAAGTACTCTGCTACAAGGTTAAGTCCTGCACTGAACATATTACTGAAGCAAAGTATAATCAGGAAAATGTTTGTGTTAAATATACGCAATGCAGAAAAATGACCTCTGTGACTGCTACACTATTGTAATTACATCATTATTTATTTACCCATAAATTAATATAAAAAATGAATTTTATTTTTGTAGTTTATTGAGACTGAGCTAATTCCGAACTTTTTCGCATCCCACTTCAACTAATAATCATTTTTACTATAGATTGATCTGCTGATTACTTTCTTACAACCAACTGCTTGTTTGGTTTGTAAAAAAATATTGTGAGAGCAGCTCTCCAAGACCTCTACACACATATTAAAAAAGTTGAATAATTCACTAATCGTTTTAGGTTGACTTGTAGAAACTGTTGGGCAGTTTAATTTATAACAAACCATAATATTTTATAAGTTTTTGGTGTATTTTTTTTGTATGTAGTGCTGGTAATTTGTAAAGTAACTAAAGCTGTCAGATAAATGGAGTAGCATAAAGTACAATATATGGCTCTGAATGTAGAGAGTAAAAGTAGAAAGAGGTATGTAAAATAAGTAAGTAAAATATTAGCACCTCATTTGTACTGAAGTATAGAGCTTGGAATGCTGTACTTAGTTACATCTACCTATAAAATGTAGTTATTCTGTTGTCATGTATCTACATTTAATAACATTTCAGCTCAGTTTAAGCTCTGCAGTGATTCCTGGACTAATGCTGCCTTCCATACAGTCTTCCAGTAAACATGTACAGGTTTTGCATTTTTAAGAAAGCACAGGTCTTGGACGACTACTTGATATCAGCAGGTGTTCTAAGTTGAGGTATCAGAATTAGTACCAGTGGAGGAAGAAGCTGGATTGTTGTTGGTTATGTGTGTTCATCGCCGCTGAAACTAAACCAAATCTGAAACCTGCACCTTTCAAGCTGTGGGTCACTTCTGCCTTAGTTTTGAATGAAGTTTACTGACATCATTAGCTAGGAAAGGTGCAAACCAATCAACTGTTTAAAGCTATTATACCAACAATGTCTTCAATTCTAATACATTTAAAAGCATTATTTAGTTCATGTATTCATTTCCTTATTTTTCCGAAACACTGACTTCAAGAGGAAAGATCTAACCATGTATGATCTGCAGGTACAGCAGACTGTTTGCAGCCAACTGCTGCTGTGGATCCTACTTGCTCTGTGTCTCCAGACTTCTTACAGGACGTTACATGACTCCTATTAACCAGTAGGTGTCTCACTACTCTAAGAGATAAAAGCCTGGGTGTTAGACTCCCCAGTTGAGCTGTAGACAAATGCTGCATGCTGACAGACAGCGGTTGGCCGTCAGCCATCAGGTAGTGGCTAAGAGCTCCTCATCCCCGCCAGGTTGTTATCATGCTGGATAGGGGTGCAAAGCTCACGAGCAGAACAAACAGCAGCAGATTAAGATTTCCACTAAGCAAAGTAAACTTTAAACCTTGGCTGATACAAGCATATACATTCTTTAAAAATAAATAAAAATAAAAAATGAAAACGCTGCCCCTGAGTTTCACTTCTGCCATTGTTTCGGCTGTGCTTCTGTGCTACGAAAACAGAAATAGCATCCCTGCTTACACAACCTGAACACAGACTATGCTCCTGCCTATAGTCTGTGTGTCATTGTCAAAGTGTTGATCCGTCTATACCCTGAGCAGTGTAAACAGCCCCCGGTAACAGCAGGTTTCTGCTTGTCTGCTGTCTGCCGGTTTGTTCTCTGTTTGAGCTGCTTGTCAGTCTTGATCCCAATTACCCTGGACCAGTTTACATCGAGCTTCACAGCTTTTTACGACGCCCACACCTCCAGCTATGCAATTTCAAAAAACACAGGGAGTCGCTTCTGAGGCACTGCGTCCCCAATCCACTCCCTACCAGCCGGTGCTCCTAATGGAAGAGTCTCTGCTCCTAACGTCATGTGTACACCTCTGACAGAGAGCTGAGCTGGAATGTGTTTGTTCGTGTGTGTTTGGTGACATAATTCCACATGGCTGAGTGCTTCACTTCCTGAGGTACAAGTCCAGGAACCGTTTATGTGCTCAGCTGACAGAACAGCATGCACGTAGAGATAAGGAATAGGTGTGTATTGCTGTAAACTAGGAATAAGACATCAAGAGGACATGACAGGAATTAGAGGAAGGAAAAAATAACAGAGGAAGAGTGACAGAAAGTGGAACGACTCACGTTGGAGCTTGTAGGAGAGGATGTGTCGCTGTTAAGCTAAATGTGACTCATTATACTGCATAGCAGGTGCTGTTGAATCAGACTTCTCTCAATCGGCTGCCTCTCCCTCCCTCTATTGATGTTTCCAAACTGCCTTTTGACATTCACATGCTGCAGTTCAAACACAAAAGGTGCTGCCTGCCTAACAGGCCTTGTCACTGAGCGGCACAATGTGTGTTAGTGAGGGTTTTTGTGTGTCGTCATTCACATGCCAGCATATTTGTGCATGTGACAACACATTCCACATCCTGCACTGACCCCTTACATTCCTGTCTCCAGTGGCCCCGAAAACAGGTCTCCACCACCTCCATTGGCATGTCCTCTGTCCTCCTTACACTGCTCATCTCCTGTCCTTTCCCTCCTCACCTCGACCTCATTTTACAGCAGAAATATCTGTCTTCGAACTGAAAGTCAGCTTGGATTAGTCGAGGACATTAGAAATCCTGCATATATGACAGAGTCAGAGGGTGTGGAGGGAACAATAACATTTAAACCTGCTATGATTGCAGAAAATAAATCTGCTTTTTGATATTTGATTAATCAATTAAGTCATACATTTTTCAGGAGCAATGCAACATTTTCACCAACAGCATCTGAGTCTTGTAATATTGATCCTGTGCAAATGGCTTTACATGACTTTATGGATCAATAAAAGGTCAAAAAGCTTCAGAAAGTTTCCAGTTAGCCCTCTCTTGACCAGCGTCTGTGACAGCAGCTGTCTTCCCCTTGGAACAAGGTAAGATGTATAATCATATTTTCATATTTTATTCATCTGTGGAAGCCACAACAAAACTGTGTCAGTGCATCGCAGATGGCCCTACACCGTAGAAACACTAACAACTTGGCATTCAAAGACACCACACACTGGGCTGCTGCAAGCGCTGATCTAATTTACTTTTCTAATGTTTGCTCACTACTTCATGTCTGTCCTAACATGAGGCACACAAAGAAACATGAAGCACTACTGTGTTCAGGGCTTTGTGTGTACGTGAGCTGAACCGTGCATGTGTGTCCCTAGACACACAGAATTGTGTGATCAGGGAAAGGTCACAAGCCGCGAGGCTGTGAATAAAGGATCACGCATGTGAGACTTGTGTAGCATTCGGCATTAACAGAGCAGTTGTGACAACTCCGCCAGTCGCTGCCTGCAGCACTGCAGGCCTCGTCTGTGACACCTAACAGCCCTGCAAGCCACACTTCTGATCCTGCTCCCACTGTGTGACAGAGCGCCACTAATGTCCTTCTCCCTCATGCTCACAGCAGGAATCACAGATCGTTTTATTATGAACCACTTACAAGTAGGAGCCCTGTCCTTCTCGCCACACAGGCATTTGAAATCGAGTCAGAAACAAATCTTTTTCTTTTACTGCCTTGCTGTGCTCTATGATAAAACTTGCAGTAGCTCCTCTTTGTCACCGTCTGGATAACAAATGCACTGCACAGACACATGCTTTCTTTTTTTCCCCCTCGGAGCAGCAGGGCTCGATGCATTTAAAAAAGCATGCCGCAGATGCGCCAAAGTCAGGGAGCCAAAGTGGGTCAGTGTGTTGAGCTGAGTGGGGAGGGATGTGGCATGCCATTAGGCTGAGCCCCCGTCTTCTTCTCTTTAGCACACACAGCACACACACACTAAGGACATTCACACTGCCAGCGTCAAAGCTATAACCTTCCTGGCAAATTACCTTTTCACTATTTAATCACTGTAGCAGGCCTCGTTGGCACATGAAAGGAAGACGTTATTCTGGGCTAAACCTGTAAACAAGCTGGGAAGTAAACTAATTTACCGTCTTGTATCGACAAAAATCAAAGCAGAAGATGTAAAACGTGGGCCTACTTCAACTACCTGGACTTCCAAGAAGAGTGTTACTTCCAACTTTGGTTACATCTTTTGTGAAGCTTGTTAATCGCCAGAGAGGTAGTCAGTGGTGTTTCGGTAATGCAACGCCATCGAAGACTGGATCGAGGTTCTCACTTTCTCTGGGCTCTCATCGAGCCTCCCGGGGGGAACACTATTGATCCGGAGCTAAGAGAGGCCCGGGCTGATCACACCCGCTCTCTAATAACCTGCACATACACACAGTAACGGTTGCATGTCACAGCAGTTCGATATACACTGCTTTCACTCAGCAGGTTGGCTGTTCAAGCAGAGGTTGGTG